AATCAGACCATAGGTAACGTTAAGCAATATCAAGACTAGAGTACGAAGAGCTACTCGACATCTTATATACTGACTACCAGAGAACTTTGGGGTACGTTGGCTGTGGCGGCAGGGCTTGGCGGAGCTTGACAGAGTGGGCGGGTGTCAGTTGCGATCGAGGGTTGGGCCACACTGATACATTGTTGGGATCATTTGGGAACGCGGGCTGCCCCGAGGTTGTCGTGATACTCCGGAATGGGTCGGAGGAACCAGGGTGTTGAGTTGATGATGGGTGGCAAAGATCAGGAACAGCGGGGTTGATTCTCGGGGTTTGGGAGATCCAGGGTAAGTGTCAGTGGCTGCGGGGAAGGCGTCAAAGTTGGCCAGGGGGCCGTCGGAGTTAGCCGGGGTTGCGTCGGGGCTAACCAAAATAGGCGCGGGGCATGGGTGGAAGTTCGGCGGAGCGTCGGGGGTTTTGGGGAATTAGGGGGTTGCTGGACGATGTGCGGGGGTCCAGGGGACGGTTGTGACACTGAGCAGAACAAGTGTACTAATTTTGTTTCTTGTCATGTTAGTATTTGCCATGGGTGCACTCATTTTCACAGAACTCCTGTATTGCTTGAAGGTGCAGGCCATATCATATGGACTTTTGATCTCACTGCCCCAGCATTGTTGACACCATCTTCATCCATAGGATACTTGATGATGGGGAACTGAGTTCATTGCCATCTTTTGAAAACAATAACACTGCAATTTTCAAGACACTTAGCAAGAAAGTGGCTGGATGGAAATCACAGTCAATAATCCATTCATCTCTGTGCCCTCACTCTTCACTAATGCATGTATAGGTTATCGTCATTGCTACTTGTAGCTCACTCTCTATACTGTTAGAACAGGATAACTGCATGCAAGAGGAACTTGAGGGACTTCTGAGTTGCATTGAGGGCTATTAGGAGACCTGAATAGTGGGTCCACAGGGTACATAAGTTGTTTGTTTTTGACAGTTGTCAGCTCTGTCCTGCCCTCTCTACAAGCTCACTACTACAATCTTATGAGCTGTGGCTCCTATATTACTCTATCCTTCATTAATATATAATGCAGCCCAACATATATAAAACCCTTCATAATGTTGTTTGATTTGTGAAAGTCCCTTGGTATGGCATGTTATATCATTACCTAAGCCCATGAACATCAAGTTTGTGGACTTGAGTGTCCATTGCTGTTGACTTCTGCTAAGATATGTAGGGTAGGCTACTGCCTCAAATCACTACTGACTACTCTTGTCCTCCTTCCAGCTCTTTTTTCCTTGTGCTCTTTAGCTGCAACAATGCCATTATCAGTTCACAAACTTTGGCAGGACTTGCATTGCCAGCCACAAAAATATAATTATAGTATGTACAACATATGAAGTCACTTGCTACTTGATTTAGTCAATGTCATTCAGATGTCCCAGCTTCAACAATAAATTTTCAGCTCCAACTTCACTGCTACCCCATGTCTCCCACTTTTTAAGATCTGGGCATAGCCAACAATGGCCACTTCAATGTAGTTATTATGATGTGGGGAGGGTTCCCCACCTACCATGCATTGTTGTGCATGACAACAAGTACCCAAGTCACCTACCCTACCCTCACAATATTGTTTGTTTTAAATTTTGATGACTTGCAACAGCTTGCCAACTTACAACAGCTACCTAACTATTCCTGCTTGCTTTCCCTCAATGCTAAGAGGATTTTCCTACATGCTACATTCTCACACAAATGGGTACATCATTGCTACTGAAACTTTGATTTTTTTAGAGTTGTTGTATGCTCTGCTCCACCACCACCCTATGCTGCTACCAGCACCACCACTATAAGGGGTATCACTCCTACAAAACTGAGATGGTACCAGACAAGTTGGATGTAGTCTGCATGTAAAACACTAAGGAACACATTGCCCAACTGTGCTTCTATCTTCCTGAAGAAGAGTGGAGCATTGGGTTTGGCTGAGAGAGGTTGTGAGTTATAAGTTCACTTCATTTATAAATTGTGCTGGGTTGTTATATTTGAACACATATAAAAGCTCTTTTCCAGTCACAATCTGTGTTTCTCTAATGCACAATAAGAAGGTCAAATGTGACCCCTAGTTTTATTGCTGGAATTGAGAATGTGGAATTGGTATTGTCAATGTGTTAGATGATTCATGCTTAAAAAGGTGTTGCATGTCTCAGCCAACTCTGTGCATAGTGAGTTAAAAGAGCCAGCAAGGGTGGAAAGATTGCTCATAATGAAAGAGAGATGACTGAAAGAGTCTGCAATGTTTCTCAGTGGAGTTTGGCCAGCAGCATGGCCTAAAGGATTGGGAGACTAAGGAGACCAAAGATAATCATCTGCATGATGATTGCTTGGACAAGAGCTATAGTAGTATGAGGGTTGGCCAGTACTAGCACTAGGGTCAGGCATATGAATGCCATGCATGGAAAAAACAGAGGTAGATTGGGACATAGGTGACTGGTGAGTTAATGATGAGAATTAAAGTGACAATGACTGGAGATTGACCCTTGAAATAGGTGTTGTCATGACCTGTCCCCAGACCTCTGCACCTCTCCCCAAGCCACTCTGCTTCTCCAGAGTTTCCCCCAACACCAAACCCTGATGGCCCCCCTGGCAAACCCTGATGCATTCTCTGCAGGCCCCAATGCTTTCCCTTCCCCTCCTGAGCCCATGAAACCTCCCAACACTGTTCCTGACTCTAGCATATGTTACTGACTTGCTACCATGGCTTACCCAATCAAGTCTGGAACATCATGCTGACCCCAGGGCAGCCCATGTTCTCATCTGATCCCATCAGTATAGCACTGTGGCCTGCCAACTAATTGTAACCAACACCCATCAACTCTGTGTAGCCCCAACAAGCCCTGCCATCAGACCCACTATTTCCAGAGGAGTTCCAGTAGTGGTATATAAGTCATAGAGTAGCATTCTGTCAGGTTCTGCTGACCACAGGGGCTCAGCTACATTGGTGAAGTCCAGACCCTCCAGAATGCTAGGTTATCAGTGCAGAACATTGCATCCACCTAGGAAGGACTCACCCAGTTAAGCTGAGCCCCCATGGTCAGCAGAACCTGACAGGTGTAGGTGTGATTAGAGATAATGATTGAGGAATTGAAATGCAGGGATGAGGTATTTGTTAATCAGAGGAAGAATATGGGCAAGGAATTTGGAAAGGTGGTGTGATTGTCTCTGCTGGCATGCATCTCTCAGAAGAGCTATCTCTCTGCAAGTTAGCAGCCTAAGACAAGCAATCAGATAGGAATACAGTTGTTAGGAGAGCCAAACATATTCTTATCCTAGCCAATTGAGACCAATTGCTGACACATCACTTGTCTTTTCTTTTCTGTCATACTGTACAGTTGTTTCTCACACTTCTGATGCCTCTGAAGCATCACACCTGGCCTAGGGAGTTCCACAGATTTGTTCTCTTTGGATCTCCATCTGCCAGATGAGTAGTTATGTCTGTAGCCACTGTACAGTACTGAATAGACTTTGGATCTCCCTCTGCCAGTTGTGTGATCAAGCCTTACACCCTGGGTTAGCTGAACCTAACACTTGGTCAAAAACACCCTTGCCTGTATGAAACTGCATTCCCCATATAAGAAATGAAAGTTGACTCTCTCCCACAAACATCTTCTCCAAGTGGTGGAGTTCTTGAAAATTTTTACTAATTATGATGACATCTCATTTCTTTCCATGCTCCTTACTGATTTTCATGGCCTCCTGCATTTGGGTGAAATGGTTCAGCCAAACAACAGCTGCTTTAGCAATGAGCAAAAAATAGTTCTGATAGTGTTGACTTAGGTTCACAACTCATTCTATGAGTTTAAGTTGCCTCACCATAAATCTGATGCCTTCTTTGAAGGTAATCAAATTCATATTCAGAAGAGTGATCATGCTACGGACCCTTACTCTCATTTCACGAGATATCTGCATAGCAGATCAAGCTTATTTCCCCTCAAAAGAGAACAGTGGCTTAAGAAGGATGGATCTCAGCTGACCTGGTCATTCATCATCTCTCAATCACAACAATTCTTTCCTCAATCTATTGCAGGAAGAGCTACTTTCTTGACTGAATTGAGAATAGCACCCATCTCATCCAAGCTGCAGGCTGATAGTTGTCAAAGGTGTTCCAGCACTACAACTGCAAGAGCCCTATCACGATTCATGCCTCAACACTGAGGCATTCAACCTTGACCTTGTTGCACCCAATTTTATCTGCCAATTGATTGCAGCTCATTTACAACCAAACTTCTCTTTTCCCCCCATCACTCTCTGTTGTCATAATCCTCAACACTTTCCACTTTTTGGCAGTTATCTCCTATGGTCAAACTCATTCTCCTTTGCATAAATTACAGTCAAATAGACAAAGCCTCCATCTTTTTTCTTTATACACAAACTTCTGACTCTTAATCACATTACTTACAGACAGATTTCTGCTTGTGGTTACTTAGGGACATTTACACCAAGTCTCAATCTCATTTGCACGGACTCTACATTGTGTTTACACATTCTCAATCTTGTTTGCACAGACTCTTGATATCAACACTTATGGACAGGTATATGGACTTTCTGGATGATAGGTCCTGAACACCACAAGGACTCACATGCCTGGCCATATTACCATGTCCCATGGACTAGTTGGTTATGGCATCTGCTGTTCTGAATTTCTTGCTTTCATGTCAACGTCAGAAAATCGAGAGTTCAAATCTCTCTAGGACAGTGAGTCAGGCAAATATACACGTAACACCTTTTTTTTGTATCTAGATGGATGACAGGATCGGTAATATGCACTTTTTAGTCGATTGTGTATAGTTAGTGCGCATTGTGAAGAGTGTGCATTAGAAGATATGTTGGGATTCACAGCAACAATGAAAGTGACAATGACGACCCATGCACCAAGAGCATAAAATACTACACCAAAACGAGCTATTCATCCCACCCCAATCCATGCGATTGAAGCCACATCACCCTATGGCACTAACATGTCCCACGGGACTAGTTGGTCACGGGTGTCCGACTTTTATTCCACCAAAAGCAACACTACGTAACATCGGAAGATTGAGAGTTCGAGTCTCTCTGGGACAGTGTATTTCACATAAGTACACGTGAACTTTTTCTTCCTATCTAGATGGATGATAGGTCTCGAACACCACAACGCCCAATACCGTACCGTGTCCCATCATTTAGTCGGGTCACGGGCGTCCGATTGTCATCCTCACTACCACCAAGGTCACGCGAACAAATCAATCCTGGACACGTCGACTCTTATACAACATGTCCCATGGCTTAGTTGGTCACGGCGTCCAACTGTTATACCCAACTCTGATCGAGAGTTCCAGTCTCTCTGGGACAGATACAAATGCACATAGGAATTTCTTTTCCTATCTAGATGGATGATACTGTCCTGAACACCTGTACATCCGACTGTTACCTCGACAACCAATAAGCTCACGCGAACATAACATTCCCTGGACATGTCGAATCCTACACAACATGTCCCATGGCTTAGTTGGTCACGGCGTCCAACTGTTATACCCAACTCTGATCGAGAGTTCCAGTCTCTCTGGGACAGCTGATATCTGACATCTTTTACGCCCTTTTTTCTCTCTTTCTCTCTTCGAAACGAAACGAGACGAAAAAACGAACAAACGACACAATCCATCATCACACGTCCGTCATACCGCTACGAAAACGAAACCGAAAACGTACAGACGAAAAATACACAGCAGTCCGGATCCTGTTTTGCTTACACATACATTGTTATAAGGGCAAAGGGTTTAGATCCTGCTGGCGGAGTGACATAGAACTTGAACCTATGACCATATTGTTCTTTAGCCCGGGAATTATCTACGACTCCAGTCTTTCATGCATACCCCACATCTTCTCCGTGACCAAGTCCAACTTCATGTCTACTTTTCCACGTCTTTTCTCATGATCCTGAAAATGGTCGTGTTTTTTTGTTGCGCTTATGGAAAGGGCGAGTTTTCGGTCGGCGTTATATCTCCTGTCTTTGCGCTCAAGGCCCCTATCAGCACAAGTGCACCAAAACTCCCATCTGGAAATTGCAATAGAATTTTCCGTTCCGCGGCCACGGAGCAGGTCGGCCACGGAGCAGGTGAACCTCTCATCATCAATTCTCTATCGAACGTGCTCACCGTGGTTGGGTTGATGTGAGTATCATAATTGAGTCACAGACCGCAATGGCCTAACTACACAATCCTGACAGCGAGGCCGTCGTAGTATAAACAAAATAGAAGCATTGCGTCGCAGGCTGAATTATTTGAAAACAATCACTTCTAGCTCGAGGGCGGACGCCAGTGCCCATCAGCCTTCAAGAGTAATTTCAAGAGAGATTGAAGATCGAGAGTTCAGTCTCTCTGGGACAGATGCGTCCTACTGTGAGATCTTTGTTTTGTCCACCTAGATGGACGATAGGGTCCTGAACACCACAACGTCCAACACCCAAAATTTCCCAATGGCTTAGTTCGTCACGGGCGTCCGATTCTTATCCCAACACCACCAAGGTCACATGAACATAACAATCCCTGAACACGTCTAACCTCATATAACATGTCCCATGGCTTAGTTGGTCACGGCGTCCGACTGTTATGTATTTCCCTTCTTCATCTAAACATCGGAAGATCGAGAGTTCGAGTCTCTCTGGGACAGATACGTGTATACTGTGAAATCCTCGTTTTTCATCCTTCTAGATGGATGATGGGGTGGATGATACTGGTCCTGAACACCTGTGCATCCGATTGTTAGCTCAACAACCACCAAGCTCACCCGAACATAACATGACCTGGACACGTCGAGTCTTACACAACATGTCCCATGGCTTAGTTGGTCACGGCGTCCGAATGTTATTTATACACCCCATACCAATCTAACATCGGAAGATCGAGAATTCGAGTCTCTCTGGGACAGTATGTCCAGATCGATCGTATCGATACCGATACCACTTTTTCGTCGAGTGTGCTGACAGCAACATACTACACTGAACGAACTATTCACCTACGTCAAAAACTTCTTCCAAGCAACAACAGCTTCGCACCACACCGCCGCCGCCGATTCATACAATAGACCCCACATCACTAACTACCAACGTGTCCCATGGCTTAGTTGGTCACGCTGCGTCCGAAATTCGGATACTATGTCAACATCGGACCATCGAGAGTTCAAGTCTCTCTGGGACAGTGGGGAGAATAGGTGTAGACCCTTTTTCTTTCAAAAATTTTCTTTTTTCGTAATCTTCATGGACGACGTCCGACTGCTATACATCTTCCCATGTATGTACATCAGAAGATATCCATAACCTCATGGCTTTAGTCGAATCACGGTGTCCAACTGTTATTCTTGCTCCCAGCGGTTACACTAGACTCTGAGTATCCAACAGCGGCCCGTCGTCATAAATAGATTATGGAGACTGCCTCTGTATCTTTGCTACCATACGGACCCCAAGGCAAACGAAACGATACCCAACGACGGACTGTTATCACCAAAGTCTAGCCCGATGTAACATGGGAAGATCGAGAGTTCGAGTCTCTCTGCGACAGTGGATATCACCAGTACATGTGAACTTTTTCTTTTTTCCATCTATCTAGATGGATGACAATACACCTGTCCGGTCCGACTGTATCCCAAACACCACTATAGTCACGCGAACGAAACAAACCAATCCTGAACACGTCAATTGTAGTGTAACATGTCCCATGGCTTAGTTGGTCACGGCGTCCGACTGTTATCCCCAAATTCCACGCCTATCTAACATCGGAAGATCGAGAGTTCGAGTCTCTCTTGGACAGTGGATATCACAACTACATGTGAACTTTTTTGTTTATCTAGATTGGATGATACCTGTGCGTCTGGGTATCTCAATACCACCACAGTCACGCGAACATAACATAACAAAACCTGAACAATTCACACATTTCATAACATGTCCCATGGCTTAGCTGGTCACAGCGTCCGACTGTTATCCCCAAATTCCACGCCTATCTAACATCGGAAGATCGAGAGTTCGAGTCTCTCTGGGACAGATACAGATGTATATAGGAATTCCTTTTCCTTCTATCTAGATGGACTTATCAGGTTATCCCACGCGAACATAACATCACATTCCCTGGACACGTCGCCTCTCACATAAAATTGTCCGTCACAGCGTCCGACTATTATTTTATACACCCCATACCAATCTACCATCGCAAGATCGAGAGTCCAAGTCTCTCTGGGACAGCTCAACAAATACCAGCGTCATTTTTCCTTTTTCCTTTTTCCTTTTTCCTTTTTTTTTTTTTTTTTTTTTTCACGACCCCTGTCATTTCAATCAATCCAACGTATTTTTTTCCACTTACATCCGCATGGTTCGTATTGTATTGTCTTATCTCCTCACGCTGTTCTCGTTCGCTTTATTATCATTATTTATCATTGATAGAAGTGGGGTACTGACTTCTACGCACACGCACACGCACACGCACACGCACACGCACACGCAAACGAACCCGAACCCGAACCCGAAACCCAACAAAATCATCACCTCACCCCCCCCCAACCCCACCCCAACCCCCCCCCCCCCCCCCCCGCCCCCCTTAATGCACCGCATCCTCCCACCCCCTCCCAACAGTCCTCACCAAATCCTCCTGCGTCACACGTTTCCCGCTCGAAAAGTACCCAGCAGCGATCTTGGCGTCAATCTCGACGCGCGAGTCTGGGGGGATCAGGTGGTCTGTCGGGGGCGTGAGCGTGAGCGGGTGAGCGGGTGCAGAGGCAAGGGAGGCATGGACGTACCGGGTAAATCGTACCTCTTCATGATTGGAATTCCGCTGTTTACGATGGCGTCGTATTTCCTATGTGTGGGATGTCAGGATCCAGAAGCCAGAATCCGCCAAGCACACACTCACATATCACTCATCGAAACCATCCCCCCGACCCTCCTCACGCCCAACCAATGCAACACATCCGGCATCAACACCTGAAACCTCATATCCTTAACGCCCGCCACCACCTCCGTGCTCTTAAAATACCGATCCGCACTGTCCCCCGCGCGCTTGCGCGAGTTATACACGAGGTACTTGGTGACCTCGCCCAGTGCGCGGCCTTCTTTGCGAAAGTAGATGATGAGGCCGACGCCGCCTTGCTGGGCGGTGCGGATGGATTCGAGGATGGCGTAGGTGAGGTAGGGCTTGCATGTGCAGATGTCGGAGCCGAAGACGTCGGACCCGTTGCATTCGTCGTGCACGCGGAGAGTGAGGTGTTTGGATTCGTCAGAGAGGTATGCGGGGTTCCCGACTGTGGGTTGGGTGGTTAGTGTGTGTGGCACAAGGGAGAGGAGAGGCGACGCACAGATGTAGACGGTGAGACCGCCGATGGGGGGCAGGAATATTTTAATGTCGGGGCGCGTGATGAGTTCCGGGTACATTCCGCCCGTGTCTTCAAAGAGTGCGCGGCGCAGGAGACTTTCTGAGCTGTAGAGGTTGTCAGCGCGTGGCACAACAAGCGCAAAGGGGGCACACGTACATCCCAAAACGCTCGGCGACGCCAGGGAGATACCACACAGGCTCCACAGCAGCCTTGCTGACGAGGACCTCGACGCCAGTGTCCCGCTCGCTCGGGGACCCGTCCTCGTTCACGGCTTTGGGGCTCCTCACGACAATCTTCCCATCGACGTCGAGCTCGCCCTTGCGCACGCACTCGTCCAGCTCGCTCATCTTCAGATGCGCTTTGGTGACGGCGATGCTGGGCCGGACATCGAGGGCCTCGTGCTTGATCTGGCGCTCAAAGACCGAGGGCACGAGATGGCCCCACGGATCGAGGGAGACGATCTTGGAGGGGTCGGACCACGCAGGCTGGGGCGGGATGGAGACGGGGGGCTCGGTGTTGGAGTAGTCGGGGACGTGCGTCGGGGACAGCGCGCCCATCGCGATCGACAGCGCGCGGTAGATCGAGTACGACCCAGAGTGCGCACCGATCGCGTTGCGGTGCTTGATCGTCGATGGCAGCCGCGAGCAGATCACGGGACCCCGCGTCTCGGCGTCTGCTGCGCCCCATCGAAGCGCGTACGGCGTGATCCCGTGTTGGTCGGGGTACGCTGTGCGCAGGGGTCAGTGTTATGTAATTGCTGCAGATGCAGAGCCGTACTTGTGAGGTTGACGCGGCCGGGGTAGAGGCCGGCGCTGCGGGCCGGCGCTGCGACAGTCGCTGGGGCTGCTGCTGCTGGCTTGGGCGTAGGCGACGACGGCGGCTCTGGAGACAGCGCGTCGAGCTGCACCCGGTCCGTCAGCTCCGTCGAGAACACAAATGGACAGGCGCGTACCTTGGCTTGGATCGTCTGCTGCTGCACTTGCAGCACTTTGAGCTGCGCGAGAATCTGCGTGAGCACCGCGTCGTCGGACATGGCGAAGAGGGTGACAGGCAGGGCCTTGTTTATATACGAATGACAGTCGTGGGTTCCGAGTTCGGAACAAGCTTCCGAAATGAAGTCAAGACCCGTATTCGCGAGGTGTTACGCGTGGTGGACAATCGGATGGCATAGATGCAAACAACTTTAAAGCTTGAAGCTTGAAGCTTGACGGACCTGGGCTACCACGGGTCGCGGTAACGCGGAAACCATGCAGAAATTCAAGGAAACGATCTCGGATCATGCGTCGCGTGATCAATGCTAGTATTCCCACCGGAACATACATACTGTATTCGTTGCCATTCTAACAGCCCAACCTCCCACCACATGTCCCATGGCTTAGTTGGTCACGGCGTCCGACTGTTATCCCTCTCAATCGGAAGATCGAGAGTTCAAGTCTCTCTGGGACAGGTATCTTTTGACGTTCTATTTTTTATTGTCTCATTGTCACAGGTAAGGAGTAACTTTACAACTTAGCCCACGACCATAGGCCGATTCCTCCTCGGGTGAGAGTGATACCATCAGTTCTTCATTTCCTCTTCAAGCCACTCAGCCCCCTCACAATCACAATTACAGCACTGCAAGTACCTCGACCTGACAGAAGTACTGGAGCTAGAAGCGAACAATACAGCCATGGAGACTAAGAGAGCAGATTGACCAAACGATCAAACGAGCTCAAAGATCCGTCTCCCCCGCGCTCCATCAACAGGCTCACCAACTCATCTCCCCTCCCCAGAGCAACAAACACAGAAACTAACAAACATAAGCACAAGTCAAGCTTGCTACCGAGGCCTGAGACGTGATGTGTACGTCAGGAACCCCCACAACACAACCTGCTCTGCAGATACATTACATACGTTCAAGTACTAGTCTCTCTCTGGGACAGTGCGAGGTCCTCAGGCGGTTTGTTATGCCCTGACTTTGTCGTTTGTTGTCAAACTTACCAGTTACCAGCTGGGCCCCGTTTTGATGTCTATGTATGCACCACTGGATCCGAATCCGACGAGGGTTGACGGCGGAAGGGATACAGAATACAGTGCAATTCTCCTTCAGTCTTTGGAATTTGGTCGTACATCCTGCACTACGCTACGACGATCCAAGTCCCGTCTAGGTCTTCCAAGCTGGACCGTTGTCACCTCTCGATTACGAGACAGATAATGCACAGAAAATGCATAGATCTTTTTTTTTTTTTTTTTTGGTTGCTTCATCATGATTGCGTTGCGTGAGGTTTCAAAGAAATAAAGAAAGAAAGAAAGAAAAAAACAAAAAAAGGTTATCTGGAATATAAGAATCCGCGCATACTGAGAAAGCATATATACCACATACTTAAGTATTCCCACCGGAACATCCATACATCCCTTATTCGTTACGATTCCGACAGACAAATCTACTACCAATGACATGTCCCATGGCTTAATTGGTCACGGCGTCCAACTGTTACGCTAACTCTGCGTCAGTGTAACATCGGAAGATCGAGAGTTCAACTCTCTCTGGGACAGATACCCTCTGACGCTCTATTTTAAATGTCTCGTGTGCATAGGTTCCTCTTGAGGAGTATTTTTATTGTGGGCTATCAAAACGAGACCAGTGAGGGGTGTTTGGATGAATCTAGTGGTTTAGTTTAGCCCACGACGTAGGTTCCTCTTCAGAACTAAATAAAACAAATAAATTGAACTGGGTACATCGCGCCACCCCTATCCGTTTCAAATGAGGTTACGAACACAGGAGATTCACCAGCCATCAAAAGCCTAAGGCATGGTCCTGAGTATTTCCTCAAGGAAAGAAAATACAAGCCCCTCAGCCCCTCACAATCACAATTACAGGACTTGTCACCCACTGCAATTACCTCGGCTTTTACCCCTGCCGACATCGGACAAGACTCTGGCCAGGAGAATTCAAACGTCTCGAGATCTCAATGGGAGTGTGCACTATGGAAGCTACTGACAGGAAGTGCTGGAGCCAGAAGCAAACAATACAGCGATGGAGACTAAGAGAGCAGGATGGAAGACGAGAGGATCAAACCTACCAAATTCAAATTCAAGTCTCCCTGGGACAAAGCAAAGTCCTCAATGGATCGGTTTCTATTTTTTTTTTTTTTCCTTTCTTTCTTTCTTTCTTTCTTTCTTGTGGGTAAGGAAGGAGTGTTTCACGATACGTAATGCGTGATTTTCTTGTGAAAGGTTACCAGGTGGGCGCCGGGCCTGGTTTGGATAATCTTCTATGTATGTATGACTGCATACCTGGATTCGATGATAGACCGAGTGAGGGGTTGACGGCGGAAGGGGATACAGAATACAGTGCAATTCTAAATTCTGAGAAACAAAGAAACAAAGAAAGAAAGAAAGAAAAGAAACAAAGAAAGAAAAGAAAGAAAAGAAAGCAAAAACAAAAAGGTTATCTGGAATATAAGAATCCACTTATCCAGTGTGACGCGTAAGGAAAATATAAATATAAGAGGTAGGTAGGTACGGTTGATTGAAGAAGGTTTTACAGTGGACAACTAGTTAACAGGGTGAGGGTCAAGCGATCACCAGACATTATCCTCCCCTCGAACATGTCCCATGGCTTAGTTGGTCACGGCGTCCGACTGTTATTCCTCTCAATCGGAAGATCGAGAGTTCAAGTCTCTCTGGGACAGTGCAAGGTCCAAAGATCTTCTTTTCTTTTCTTCTTAGTTTTTTTTTTTTTTTTTTTTGTCTGACGGGCATAAGGGCATAGGTAAGGTTTTATGATACTACAACACAATGCCTGAGTTTCTTGTGTAGAATTGTTAGGTGGGCCCGTTTTGGAATTCGAGGCCACAACTGCGTAAGCACTGATATCGATATTGAATTATAATACAAACGACTACAACCACAACTACGAATACTAGTAGCAAGTATCTACATATCTGCTGAAATGAGAACGGAGCTCTGTGGTGAACAGCTAGTAAAAATAAAAGATGACATGGTGAGTGAGCAACAATGTACATACTCTACTGTGCCCTTGTCCAGTCACTCGAGAGCCGGTCAGTGATCAACCATTTGTTTACGTCACAGAACAGGTGTTGCACTTACAGTTCAAATTATGCAAGCATGTCCGCTGCTGAAGACATCAAATGCGGCGATTACCTTACTAGTTAGTAGTAGTAGTAGTAGTAGTAGTAGTAGTAGTAGTAGTAGTAGTAGTAGTAGTAGTAGTAGTAGTATAATCGCAGTCAATTGGGATGATAACAGTGCTGAGTGAACCAACCCAGATCAGAGCCATTGATATAATACATATATGTATCACAATTGGAATTTTGAAAGAACTCAATAGAGTTTAGACAGAAATAAAAGTTTGTCTTCACATCAGCAAAAAATTGCTCAGAAAATATGCCCAAATATGGCCTGGGATTGAATTTTTGACCAGAGCATCATGTCAAAAACTTAGATAATAATCCAATTCAAGGGTCACATTTAGTGGTGAATATAATATTATTTCATGATGGCATTGCTATTATTATTGACAAGCATTCTGTACTGTGCAAAAAAGAAAATGCCATCCCAATATAAAGAATCCCAGGGGAATCCCAGGATGACTTGACCTTACCATGTCTTTACCATATTGGTATATAAATCACTATAGAATATAAATTGTTTATCTGGATATGCATAGAACATTATATAACATGATACTGCTTCCCATGTCTTCTATATATTCTTCATACAATGATGAGTATCTCTTGAGTCTGTCTCAATAATGTGGGATACCTAATTTATCAAGCTTTGTACAAATAATTTTAATAGTACAAAGGCGACAAAGGCTACAATGCTCCAAAACCTAAAGACTCTTCCAGATATTCTTCTTCCTCATTGTCTTCCTCTTTAACTGTCCTCAACCCTGATTTCCTCCTCTTCATTATCCAAATCATTTTCTTCATATAAATCCTCTTCAGTCACTGATTTTGCTCCTTCTTGGGCTTGAAGGTTCACAAGCTCTTCTTCTGATTCCTCAGAGGAAGAGACTGACCCAGATTCCTCTGGAGAGTATGCAATTTCCATACTTTTTTGCATCTTGTGAGTTGCCTCTTGCATAATCTGGTGTCCAATTCCACCACCTGTAAAATGCACAAACATATTCCTGTCAACAAGACTAGACATTTTTTTATATTAGTTGTTTGATCAACAATAAAAAAACTTAATATTTGCTTACACATTGATGTAATCATGCTCATAATCCACATTCTTTCCTTCTGGCTTCCTTGCCATAGATTGACCCAATAGTTCATTAGTAGTATTCCCTGAAAATCTTGGAATAAGATGAACTGCATGCAAGACATTGGCAGGATCAACAAATGCAAATGCATCATCACCCTCCCTAAAGCCAATTTGATACATGTGCTTCTCAACAGGGCCTGATATGGCTTCATAATCAAGCCCATAACAATGACCCCAAAGAAACTCTAGTTGCTGAAAGGGTTCTCTGTTAAGCAGGGCCGGTCTCGAGGGAACGAAGTGACAAGATCTGATAAAAGAGGTAGATAACCTCAGTGATTGGAGAGCACTAAATGTATTATGTATATACCTGATAAAAGAGGTAGATACTGATATAATGAGTGACAACAGTCATAATAGAATGTAACGACTTACACCTCAGTGATTGGAGAGCACTGAGGTGTGACGGTGACAAAAACCGAAGAAAAAACATACGGAGATTACGTAACACTATTGATGACCTGTATCCTCAACACTCCCCCTCGATGTGAACACGGATTAAACAATATTGAGAAGATCACGGAAGCGCTCGAACTTGACGCGGGCAAGTGATTTCGTAAATACATCCGCGATCATGTCGAAAGTAGGAACGTAGATCAAGCGAATGTGATTGGAGGATACGGTTTGGCAAATAAAATGGAAATGGACGTCGATGTGTTTGGTGCGACCGTGGAACATGGCGTCTTTCGAGAGCCGGATCGCACCTTGATTGTCGCAGTACAAGTTAGAAGGTAAAGAGAACGAGTAGAAGAATGAAAGGTCCGTAAGAAGTTTGTGTATCCAAATGATATCCTTTGCCGCGTGAGTAAGTGCGACATATTCGGATTCGGTGCTGGACAGGGTTATAATTGGTTGCTTCTTGGAGCTCCATGATACAGCGCCAGCTCCAATAAAGAATACAAAGCCCAAGATCGAATGTCGATGCATCTGCGAGGCCCAGTCAGCATCCGAATAACCAGATACTTCAGGTTCTATTCCTCCAAGGACTAGTTTCATGTCGGTAGTACCGCGTAAATAACGAAAGACGCGGGTGACGGCTATCATGTGTGTTGTTCTGGGAGTATCGAGATATTGTGATAAGATGGAGACTGCGTACGAGATGTCTGGTCGTGTCATGATGGCGGCATACATAAGTGAGCCAATCATTTCACGATAGCGGGTCTTTTTGGCAGGAAGGAGAAGGGTCGGAGAGACTGAAGGGGAGTCGAGTGAGAAGTTGGCTCCGGCTTCCATGGGGGTGATCGCGATACGAGCTTCTTCGAGATTAAACCGCTTTATTATTTGCTCGATATAAGCTTGCTGTCCGAGAGAGATGGTTCCGTCCTTTAAGTTCCGAGTGAGGCTGACTCCAAGTAACCAATTGATTGCTCCAAGATCGACGATCTCGAATCGTTCGCCGATTTGCTTTTTGATAAGTGAGGTAGCTTTGGGAGAGTCGCCAATAATGGTGAAGTCGTCGGTGGCGACAGCAACGATTGTGTAGCTATTGCCGTCAACTTTATAGAAGACGGCAACGTCGGCTTGACAGGCCGAGTAGCCAAGGCTCGTGAATGTTGCGTAGACTTCTTTGTACCAATGATGCGCGCCCTGTTTGGTTCCGTAGAGTGGACGTTTGAGTTTGCAGGCGAGTTTGGTGTCGGGAAGTTTCTCGAGTTCAGGAGGTAAAGTGCGAAAGCGGCGGTAGAAAGGTGGGAATTGCATATAAATTACTTCGTCCTCCTTAAGAGAGGAGTTGAGATATGCATTTTTGACGTCGGCTTGCTCAATGGTTGCGCCACGCGATGCTGCAATTGAGAGAAGGATTCGAAGCGTAGCAGCACGTACTGTTGGAGCAAAGGTTTCGGTGTAGTCAACACCGAATTGTTGCTTAAATCCTTTGGCTATGAGTCGAGCCTTGTAGCGGACGATTTGACCATCAGCGCCACATTTGCGGCGTAGTACATATTGACAGGGGATGATATTGACATTTTCAGGTGTTTCGACGATGTCCCAAGTACCAAGTTTCTCTATTTGCTCAAGTTCTGCATTGATGGCAGATGACCAATCGTTGCCTTCGTTGCCGGACAGTGCTTCTTTGATTGTTGGGATGTCCTCGCTGGCAGCTAGTGCGTATTCGATGGCCTCTTGAACACATCCACTGTCAGTGTCCTCGATTTCGATGTCACCAGGTTCGAGGCTGTTAAGAGCGTCAATTACAAAAGCTGACTCGACCATATTGGCGTGTTTTGTAGATCTTGAACGTTGTCCTCTTCCAAACTGTGTGG